AAAGATGGTGCCATAGTAACAGAAATGATAATGTCCTAAAAGTCTGACTCAAAAGAAGGACTTCAGTATAGCCATTTGTAGAAAAGCAGCTAGACCCAACAGAACCATGGCTAACAGCCTCCTGCATGGCATTCAGGATATGAAAAATTATCTCAGGAGGAAGGCTGGAAGGCAAGCAAAGAAAATAGTAGGCATTTGAGAAACACAAATGGAGCTGTGAATTAGTTAATCTGCTTTGGCTCCTGGTGGGTCGCTAGAGCACTGCACCCACCCAAGAGCTCTGACTTCACGAATGAAACACACCCACACGTGCACACACACAACACATTCATATACACATGCACACGCACACACATGCATACACACACGTTTTTGCACACGTGTGCACACACAACACACATAAACACACACTAATTTTGATGTGCCTTGACTAGTTCAGTGGCTGGGCACTTCTAATCCTCCCTGAAACTAGCACACACTTCCCTCTGGTATTCTTGAATTAATATTTGCTAAATCCATATTTCATCTTTGCTACCCCAGACCCAATTAGGGGAATGGCCCCTAGGGCCATCTTCCTGGAATCTGACATGTTGGTGGGCCTTTATGTTTTCCGTGCTCCTGCACCATGGATCCCTTCACCCTCTTCCTCTCTCCCTCGGTCCCTTGCCTGCACAATCTAAAAGTCCCACCTCCGTCTCCCTGCCCAGCCATTGGCTCTATGGCAACTCTTTATTACCAGTCAAAGCCAGCTGGGGACAGGAACCCTCAGGTCTAGAAGGGTGACTTTGGGGAGCCAAATTAAGACAAAGCATTAGAACCAATTCCCAACACACAAATCTTCAAAATTAGTATTATTCCCGCCTTATAATTGGTAGGATTAGCATAACAGAATCAACTGTATAGAAATATAACTGTATGCTCAGGATGAAGCATAGAGGGAGAGTGCACCATACAAGGCCCGGGTTCAATCCCCAGTACCAGGGGTTGAGGGAGAAAAGCATATATAAGATGTAAGAGGAATTAAACATTAGGTGGGTCACTGTTCCATCATCCACTAGAGGGTAAAGCCTGGGGGTTTAAAACCTAAATGCCCACTTGGAGTTAAAATTTTAAAGTGACCACTAACAGGAAGGGAGACATTGTGTAACACTGGTGGTAGAGAAGAAAATGAACAAGGGGAAATATTCCAAAAATTAAAACGTAAGAAAAAAATTCCTAGAAAGCAGGACAATTAAAAAGGAACAAATAAGATGGCAGAAAATAAAAGAGCTAAAATTTCTAGTTTAAAAAAAACATAGGCTGTCAGACACACACACACACATATGCTGAAGCTAACCAGATAAACAAACTTTAAAACTGGGAAAATTTCATTTATTTCAAGAGACACGCCTGAAACCCGAGCACCCTCAGTTGAAGAGTGGAGTGTGAGATGCTAGGGAAATACCAACCAAGAGAAACCTGGAGCGTCTGACAAGCACCTCCAGGGAGTCTCGGCATGTTTCCCTGGCAGTGACAAGTCATGTGTGTGGGCTTGATAGGATTGCCATGCCGAAACCCATGCCTGGCACAATTGCAGAATTCCTGGGAACGTTTGCAACGTTTGATCACATACCCGACTGTGAAGCAGACTTCAGAATTTGGAATTAGGAGGCATATTCCTCTCGCAGAGGACCGAGTGTGAAATTAATGAGGAAGGGCTGCTTTGAAAAACTTGCCTTTAGGACTCAGAAGCAGGCAGGTCCCTGTGACTTCAAGGCCAGGCTGGTCCACACAGTTCCAGGCCAGCTACGGTTACAAAGTGAGACCACGTCTAAAACAAAACAAAACAAACAAACAAACAAAAAAAAAAACAAAAACCCCTCTCTTTGTTGCCCAGAACTCAGGAGGCAGAGACAGGCAAATGCCTGAGTTTGTGGCCAGCCTAGACTATGGAGGGAATTCCAGAACAGCCAAGGCTAGACCAAGAAACCCTGTCTCAAAAGCCAAGCCAAGCCAAACCAAACAAAATATCTGCCTTTTTTGCAAGTTCCAACCAAAAGATGACACTGAGTGCAGAGACGTCACATTCGTGGATAGAAACCCTGAGCATTGCAAAGGTTCCAGGTCTTTCCAGGTACCAGTGCAGTGAAAATCCAGACCCTGAAGGGCCTTCAGGGGAAGTTGTGTTGTTTTCAATGTTATATGAATGATCATGGGCCTAAAATCTACAAGGTATCATAAAGGAGAATGAAAAAGGATTTGCTGTTGTAAAGACTAAGATTTTCTCTAGGGTCACAATAATGGACACAGTGTACTCTTGGCCCAAGGAGAAGCCGAAAGTCTGACTGGACTGTTACTCTCTAGACAGTTCAGAGTCTATAGCTACTAGGATAATGCCGCCTGTCGTGACCAGCATTCCCTATACGCCCAAAAGAGAAGGGGCCCAACAGTGAGACATGGCTGTTCTTCATGACAACAAACGTCCTCGTGTTATCAAGAACTCCACAAGAGGAAAAAGGTGCCCAGCATGTTTAAAGAAAACTACACAGGAAAGTGTCTGTCTGGCCTCTGGTCTGGGGAGGGTTTTATAAGGGAAATACAAGCACAGACCAGAGTTTAGAGAGTCAGTACAGTGTCAGCTTCTCTCAAGAGCATCATTAGAAAGGTCTGTGCAGTGGTGAGTCAGCAGCAACTGACACTGTTTGAAAATTGAGCAAGAGGCCCTACAACGGTTTCCCCCAGATGCGATGACGTACAGTTAGCGGGTGCATCGGCCCCTGCGCGATGGATTCACTGCCTCCATTTCCTCGTGATTCACTGAGCTGCAAACGTACACGCCCTTGTCTGTTTTGCATTCTAAAACGTCCTCAAGTGGAAAGGGTCACGGGTTCGTACAGTGTGACAACTTGTCTCTTTGCTGACGGCCCCATGACACTCTTTTCTCTCTTGCTCCTTCCTCCATCCCCCTCTCCTCACTACTTTGGAGGTAAGGGTTTATTTGCTTACATTCCCAGTTCATAATCCATCCTTGAGGAAGTCAGGGCAGGGATTGAAGTAGAAAGCATGGAAGAATGCTGCTTTCTGGCTCATGTGCAGGTAGCTTTCTCCTATAGCCCAGTCCCACCCCTTAGAGGTGGTGCTGCCCAGTGGGCAGGGCCCTCCCGCATCAGGCATCAATCAGGACAGGCTCTTACAGATGTGGCCACAGGCCAGTCTAACCTGGACAGTCCCTCAACTGAGATTTCCCCTTCCCAGGTGAGTTCAGGTTATGCCAAGTTAACAATTAAATCTAATTAGCACTAACTACCCCTTGTCAACTGGACACAAAAATACCACTGTTAAGCCATAACCTTTCCTTTCTTGTTTGTCTCCAAAATCTCATGTCAATATCACAATATAGAATATATAGAATATAGTACAACTTTCAAGTTTCACAGTCTTTAAATTTTTCAGTAATTTAAAAGTTCAAGGTTTTGGTTTTTTTTTTTTAAGTCAAATTTCTCTGTGGACTCTTTTTGGTTTTTTTGTTTTGGTTTGGTTTTTTGGGGTTTTTTTGTTTGTTTTTTCATGTCTCTGTATAGCCCTGGCTGTCCTGGAACTTACTCTGTAGACCAGGCTGGCCTCAAACTCAGAAATCCGCCTGCTTCTGCCTCCCAAGTGCTGGGATTAAAGGCGTGTGCCACCACTGCCCGGCTATAAAGAAGATGTCAGATCCCATTACAGCTGGTTATGAACCACTGTGTGGTTGCTGGGAATTGAACTCATGGCCCTTGGAAGAACAGTCTAGTGCTCTTAACCACTGAGCCATCTCTCTGGCCCCTATTTTTAAAAGTTACATTATTTCTTAACCCAAAAGGGAAGATCTGGGCTAGAAAAACAGTCACATCAAAGCAAGCTCAAAATCAGCAGTGAAAAATCTAAATCCTGTAACTCAGTGTCTGGCATCTGGGACTCGGTAGTGATCTTTTGGGCTCCTACTGGTTTGGACAGCCTTACCTCTCCAGCTTTGCTATTCACTGGCTTGCTCCCCAAAACTCATCTTGACACGGCAGAACTATCAGAAACAAAAGTGGAAGACCTCTTAGCATTTAATCCTCTGGAATCCAGGCCAGACTCCAGAGCCTGAGATTGGTGACATGCAGCCTCGCCAGGACCTGTTTGAGAAAGAAGGGTCAACACCTTTCCTGTGGGTGTGTGGCCTGCTGGGCCCCTGTTCCGTGATCACCTCATATCCTCCTCTGCACCACCGCCCTAGATTCTCAAAAGGGCAGTGTGGTTCAGAGCGTCTACCCACCCTGCTCTGTTGCTCACAAAGTGTGGCCAGGCCCAGTCTCTTATTATCTGATGTTCTTTACGTTAAGAGTGAGGCTCAGAGAAAATGAACAAAGGAATCGCATATTCAAACTCTGCCTTGACAGGCTCCTCAGCTGGTGGGAGCCTGGGACAGCAGCGAGCAGCTGCCTATGGAAAGTGGCCTCGGGGGTCCTCTACATCTCAGTCACCCTATATAAGACAAGGTGCTTGCAGGGCAGGCTCTAGCTCTACCAGCCGCTTTTCCCACCCCCATCCCCACCACCCCCTAGACTGGCTTGTCTTAAATGGGGCCTGCAGGCCAGGAGGTGAGCGAAGCCTGGTGTGGAACTAGAACCAGAGCAAGGTTTGGTGATCTGCTAGGCTGAATCTGCTAGTCTCTCAGGGGCCCAGCTGGTCCTGTTCTGTGTCCCTCAGACCCTCCTCTCAGAGCCGCCTCTCCCCTTCCCTTCAGAGCCACTGGCCTCTCCCCTCCTCACTAGCCCGGGAAGGAAAAAGCACAACTCCTTCAGGTTCTTGCCTGCTGGGCAGCCAGGCCCATTGGTTCCACCCAGGCCAAGTCCTTGTGTCCCGCTGCCCTGTCTGCCATGTGTCCGCATGGCCCCTCTGAATCTCTCTGTGCAAAGTTCTGTGACTGCCGTTTTTAACTCGGTGTGACTTGTTCTCGATGACGATAACCTTCTTAGCTCTCGTGTCCCTCCTACCCCCAGCAGTTGACCAAGCTCCACCAGTTGGCCATGCAGCAAACCCCCTTTCCTCCCCTCGGACAGACCAACCCCGCTTTCCCCGGTACGTACCCAGCTGCCCTTTTTCTGACCTTCTCTTCTCCCCCGGGGACTCGCTTTCTCTCTCTCTCTTTCTCTCTCTCTCTCTCTCTGAGCTCCCTGCGGTCCAGTGAGTAGCGCAGGGGCCCACCAGAGCTCTGAATGCTGAGTCTTGCAGTGTTAATGCAGTGGGCTGCACACAGCTGAGGCCGGGCGGGTCGGTCTGCCTCCCATGGAGGGCTACCTTACTGCCCCTCAGCTTCCGTGTTCTTGCCTTTTGAGGGTCTTACATGCAGAGCGGTGCTCTGTGCCACCCACAGTCCATCCCCAGGTGGCTTTTCCTAGCCAGGCTTGGAGCACATCATTTCCTGCATCGAGCGTTCTGACTGCAGAAATGACCCCCTCTCCCAAGCCTGGCTGCTGCAGCCCTCCTAGGACAGCACTGACAGAGCTAGCCCGCACTCAGGCCAGTGGTGAAGCAGTCAGAGGGGCTGGCTACAGCCTGGCCGGGCATCTGCGTTAGATGCCCTTCACTGAAGCAGAGCCTCTCCTATGGCTGCTGAAAACCACACTGGCCATGCCTGTCTGGCTGTGCATGCACCAATCATATTTTGAGCTTTCCTAGTTGAAGGGACCTTGCTTCTCTCCTTGAGGGCAAAACATTAAACCTCTCTCTTCTTTGCTCTCCAGGAGAAAAGCTGCCTTTACACTCCTCCGAAGAAGCTCAAAATCTGATGGGCCAGTCGTCAGGTAAAACAGACCACAGTACCGGGGGAGCAGGCCAGGGGACATGTACAGAGGATGAGGGTACCCACACCTATGACAGCTGAGTGTCTAGCTCCCAACTTGGCTGACAGTAGTTCTCAGGGACACAAGTTGTGGACCCGAATGGGGACCACCCAGGAGCCAGGTCTTCCATTGTTAGTGAATGACGAGTCTGAGCAAGCACAGTGAGCAGCCGTCCTGTGAACAGTCGGGTGGCCTAAGGCATTGTGCCCCTACATGAGGAGGGCCTGTCTGGAGTTGTCACTAATTCTCCGGCTGTGCAGGGTATAGGGTTGCATAGTGAGAACACGACTGAGGAGGCCACAGGATGGTATGTGCTTTTGAAAGATGGGTTTCCCTGGATACAGGCACCAAGTCTTAGTAGACGGATCTGGGCTAGGTGTGTCTGCATCTTCTGGTTTTCATTTAAATGCCTGTTCCCAGGACACAGCAGGGTGACGTGTATGTAGTCTGTGATGCAGTGACTGAGGGAACAGCCTTGGGAAAAGTGATTCACTGGGGCCGAGTGTGTTTTCTGGTCCTGTGAGGGAAATACCTTACACTTCAGACCTGTGGGCCGCTATGAGTACATATGGCCAACGATGCAGCCTCAGAAATGGTGTCACACCATGCTTTTGTGTGACAACTTGATCATGGCTCTAGAGACCTAGAGTCCTACATGAGCAGGTAACATGGCAGGAAGGCTGCGTGCTGAGACAACAGGTAGCTGTGTGGGGGAATGCAGCTGGCTTTGAAGCCTTGTCCTGAGTAGACATACCTTTAACTTTGGTCTCCCTGAAAAAGGATTCTCGTTCTTTGTTCAGTCAAATGTAACATCCGACAGATGTCCCCTGCTGCCCCAGGAACTCCTGTAGTACTCCAGCACGCCAGTAGTACTTTCAAGTGACTTTTTACCTGTCCCTGCGTCTGTAATGTGTATAGATTCCCTAAATAGCCAAATAATTGTATTAAAAGCCATTATTGAAAGGAGATAAGAGGTAGAAAACTCCAGAGTTCAATCTGTAAACAGCAGAGATGGCTGAGTTGGTTCATTCAATACTTCCCCCTGGGCCTGACTGCTGGACACCCCTCCTTGGGGTCACCCTCTGGCCGGAGCCGATAACCACATGAGACAAGATGTCGAGGTGGTGGCCCTCCCAGGGAGCCAGCGGGGAGGAGCAAGGCTGGAGCGGGAACTGGGAAGATGAGGGGCACAGTGAGAAGTGGGGGCTCCTCGAGATTGTCCTGGGTTCCCTGGCTGTCTAGATGTGGTACTGAAAGGTCAGTGCAGAGGCAGGGCCGGCAAGTAGGAGCACCAAGTGAGGGGATGACCTGGGTTCTGGCGCAGTCTGAGGCAGTGTGTGTAGAGCTGGCTGTCAGGAGAATACAGAGCCTGGAGTCAGGACCCAGCAGTCCTATGCAGGGACCTCTGCTGAGTCTGAAGGCAAGAGGAGCAGCTTCAGGACTTGCAGGCCTGAGCTGCAATGGGCCTGTGGTGCTGAATTGGGCCTGCTGTGTATAGAGCATGTGCCATCCCAGAGGGTACAGCCATTGCACCTCCCGCTGTGGCAGTCCCTTGAGTGTATTGTCTCTGTTTCTGAGGCAGGGAGCAGAAGCCTGTGGCCTGTTAACTAGTGACATAGTTGAAACTTATCATGAAAACCTGGGCTTAGCCATGTGCCGTGGCCTCTGGACAGAATTGTGTCAGCCGCAGAATTAACAATGGGTGCTTGGCTACTTCTGGCTACCTGCAGTGAAACCCACATGAGGTCTCAGGGTGGAACAGAGTGGGACACAGCACCCACAAGTCTTCCTAAACAAAGAAGAACAGACATACAATGTCAGTGTGTGCCCCAGCTGCCTTGTAACCCCCAGAGGTGTGATGCCTGCCCTCGTTTTAGCTCAGGGCCCACCAGGCTGTGTATGCAAGGTGTGAGTTTTTTGGTTTTTGTTTTCTCTGGAGAGAAATTAGAACTCTGGAATTTGGGTTACCCTGGGTGGTACCAGGGCCTGGGCCCCTGAACTGCGCCCTCAGGTAGTTCAAGGAAATATGGGCCAGGCCTGGCTATGACAATAAACTGCTTTCCCTCCAACCCAATCCTAATCATGTTCCCTTGGTGTGCCCAGGTCTGGATGCCAGCCCACCGGCCAGCACTCATGAACTCACCATTCCCAATGATGTGAGTATATCCCCTGCTCCCTCGTGTCCACACACACACACACACACACACACACACACACATACACAAACACATACACACACACAGGGCTGGAGAGGTGGCTCAGCAGATAAAGGGCTTGCTGTTTGGATCCTTGGCCCCCACATTAAAAGCTGGGCTTGATGACCACTGTCTGTATCCCCAGGGACAGGGCTGGAGAGACGAGAATCTCTAGAGCGTTCTAGCCAGCCAACTAGCTGAAAGAGAGAGGAGCCCTAGGCTCAGCAAGATCCTATAACATGGAGAAGCAACACCCCAGCGCCAATGTCTGGCTTCCACAGTTGCCTATATGGGCAAGTGTATCTGTACACCCATAAACCCTCTGTGTACACAGGCAGGCAGTGAGACACACAGGGGGTGAAGCAGGCTGGCAGGCAGAGACAGACAGACAGAGTCAGACAAAAACTGAGACAGAGTCTGACTAGCTTTAGGGCAGAGAAATCTTGAATACAAGTCAAAAAGGAGGTAACCCCTGCCATGGCCCACACACAGACTGTCCCTTCTGCTATCCTGGCAGCCACTCTCAACGACATGAGCTCCTCCTCCCTGGTCCTTCTGGTTTGGAGCCACTGATTCGGAAACTGCCACCACCTCTCAAGACCCCTGTTCAGCCTGGGAGGACTAAGTGTGCTAACAGAAGCTCTTGAGACCACAGCTGTGGTGTCCCCAAGGATGTGACAAATTGAGGGACACTAGAGTAAGGATCCAGACACCCTGTGACATATAAGCAACGTCTTGTGCCAGAGAATCCCAAACCTCCAGTGCAGGTCATATCATTCCAGAACCTTCCCGGACCACCCTACTCTCAAGGTCCCTAAGCCAGGGTACTGTTGCTGTTGTCAGACTCTTGCCCAGCTCTGGGGCTGACCTCTGATTCACCCTGATGCTCCCACTTCCTGTCTGCATCTTTCATGGGAATGGGGTCAGTTGAAGGTGGGAAAGAAAGGAGAGGAGAGATTCAACAGTGGGTCCAGGCTTGAGCATATCAGTGGAACACGCGCTGTCTGTCTGTCTGTCTGTCTGTCTATGTTTCCATATGAAGGTCAGAGGTTAACCTTCAGGTGTTATTCCTCAGGAGCCATCTGCTTTGTTTTTTGAGACAGTCTCTCACCAGGACCCGGGGCTTGCCAATTAGGCTAGGCTGGCTGTCCAAGGTGCCTTGGGGACCCATCTGACTCTTCTGATATTACAAGCATGCGCCACCACACCTGGGTGCTAGGGACCAAACTAAGGTCCTCATCTTGAGGGGCAAGCACCTGACCTACTAGTTTCTCTCTCTCCAGACCAGTAGCCTTGGACTTTGAAGGCCAGCCCCTCCCCTCCATCTGAACCAGCTTCAGGAAACCCAGAGTTTACGAGTCTAAGGGGACCCCCAGGCTTGAGTATAGATGCCAGACGGTTGGGCAGCAGAGTAAACTGGCCAGAGAAACCGTGTGTGGTGCCTCTGACCTTCAAAGAAACCCTCACCCAACCCGTCTGGCTGCAGATGGCCCCTGAAGGGGCTCTGCCACCAGCCCCAGGCATCTGTTCTGTTGCCTGACAACCTCAGGTTCCCCCAGTCTGTAGGAGCTTTCATAGGAGTCAGCCCCGGTGAGCTGGTAGCATGGTTGTGTAGCCTTTAGCTCTGAGAACATTGGAGGTTGGACCAGCTTGGCAGGCTGTCTGTGGATGTGAGTGTCATGTCGCCTTGTAGTGGATAAGGCCTCTGCTTTGTGCCTTCCTCTTCCCACTCAGTGTGTGATGTTCTTCTGGCACAGGGCTCACCTGGACACACTCCATCAGACAGAGCTAGGGCTTCTTAAAGGGCTGCTAACATGGATCCTACCTCACCGGCACTGGGACACAAGCTATTGTTTAACCTGAAATGGATGTAAAGGCACCCGGGGCTGGGCCTGGTGGGGAGCAGTAGACCTGTTTGCTCTGCTGCCATGCGGTGGGTGAACACTGACTGACCTAGCCAGTCCTGTCATCCTGAAGTCTTTCTAGAGAGGAGCTGTTCCTTCACAGCTCACTCAGAGCTTGCTCTTACACCTGGCACAGGAAGGCCATAGAATTTGTAGAATAAGGAATTCCGCTCACCCAGACCTTTAGAGAAGGGACTGGGCTATAGGCAAAGATGCAGTCTCCCAGAGCCAGTGGTCCTCGATGCTGTATCTGTTCTCTCGGGGACACATGGGCCTTCCAAGGAAGAGACACACACACACCCCAGACCATTCCTAATGGCTCATGCTATAGAGCTTGCCCTAGGGCATTCAGTTTGGGGCACTTAAGGCCAGATGCTCTGCTGTGAGCACTTGCCTGGAGCCTTTTGTTCGGAAAGAAAACTAATACATTCCACGTGGCTCTGAGAGGTAGGGGACTAGTTAGTCTTGCTGCAGTGTCTGTGAGCTTGACAGGCATTGTTAGAGAACCTGTCCTGTTTCCTATAGCTTTATTGAAATTTACATGTGAAGCCAGATAGGTGGGACTAGCGTAAGCCTGGAGCTGCATGTCAGTGGTTTCCTAGTGAGGCCACGTTGAGCTGCTACCAGCCAGAGGCCTGAGTCATCTCAGGAGCCACTTCTCTCTAAGAGTAATGCCCAGAAGCATGTGTGTTGGGATCCTGGTGTGTTCAAGGGCCAGCCAACATCTCTCCTGCTCCGAACCTCGACCCCAAGTGTGAAGGAAGGAGAGGGGCTTAGGGCACAGGCCACAGAACACCTCGGGTTTTTTGAGGTATGAGCCCAGGAGGGAAAGCCACTGAAGAGACATGCTTCAGGTGTAAAGAAGAGAGTATGTATGGGTCTAGACAGAAAGGGAGAGGGAGGGTCAGCTTCCTCCAGGGCCTGTTGGAGAGGAAGTGACAGCAGCGAGGCAGGGTCTGTGCTGGGAAGTTGGCATGTGCCGTCCACATCCGAGATGATCATGGAGCTGCCAGGAGGGGTGTGAGGAGGGAAAGAGGCATAGAAGGCCACACCCATGGTACACCCTCCTGAATGATGGCATCTTCAGAGACTTGTGGCCACACCTTCTCCCTCAGCACAGGAGCCACCCTGCCTCACCTAGTCTTGGTCACAGAAGAGCCCCATAGCCTTATTGCCAGAAGGAAAGGAGCACAGGTGGGCAGGTCAGTTGAGCCATGGCTGTGTGCAGGTTAGGAAGCCAACTCCTCTCTGTCACAGGGTCAGGCACCCTTGGGACAACTGACATAGGCATGAGGAGCAGGCCCTGGGCAGAGCCCAGCCAGAGTGGGGAGTAGTAGGTGGGACTTGAGGAAATAAAGACGGATGAAGCCCAGAGATTTCAGACAAGATGCTGGACAGCTCCAGGCTCTCTGGAGAAGAGGTTCACTGTGTTCAAATAGCCTAATTGTCAGAGCTCAGTGAGAAATACAGATACCCGCAGACGCCTTAATGGGGAGCAGAGTGCAGAGCACAGAGCACATACCCTTCAGGACAAGAGCTGGTCTCTTGGTGCCTCTGCTGACCCAGGTGCCCCGTTGCCCATCATACAGGTTTGGAAGCAGATTTTCTTCCTGTACCTCAGGTCCAGCCCAGCCTTCTGCCTGGCATCTCAGTGCATGAGAACAGCTTGTTTCTAGATCTCTGGCTGGTGCCCAGCCAGCCAGGTGCCGCAGGACCACTGCCCAGGCTCTCAGTGCCTGTCTGGCCAGTGTTCCTTTCCATACCTCAGAGCACTCCGTGGGGATTCTGTTTCATCGGTGAGGGCAGTTGAGGGATGTCACCTGGCTCCTCTGCAGTATTTTCTGGGGTCCAGGATGCCCCCATCATGAAACAGGGTAGACCTGAGAGGCACATACCCAACTGTAGCTGTCTTGACCTCCAGAATGGAGATCGCTCTTGTCCCTGAGCTGCCTTAGAAAGGGCCCACACTCCTGATAACTTCACTGACCCCAGGTCTCTGCGTCCTCTAAACAGAGCTCACCATGCAGACACCTCAGCTTCATCTGAGTTCCTCAAAAGATAGGTTTCAGCAGTAGTGAACTTCAGGTGCTCTTAGGTGTCTAGGATGCTCACTCTCTGGGACATCCATCCTCCCTGTGAGGGTATCGCCAGAAGGCCCTGCCCCAGTCTGGGCCAGAGCTGGTGTGGGATTCCCCACTCAGCCTGAATCATCTGTCTTTGGGTCACATCTGGCCAGGTAGAGGAAGCCAGTCTGAGAATGGCCATGTCCCTTCTTGTGTGGACTTGTCCCCAGAAGGACAGACACTAAGCAGAGGTAAGACCGTCAACAGGCGGAGCCGGGGCCTCTCTCACACTGTCCCTGGGACCAGGCTCAGGACTTTGCAATGCCTGTCTTCTTCCAGAGCACTGAGTTCACAGGCAGTGTTGCCAGCCTAGCCTGTCCCAAGGTGTCCCCACAGGGCTCCCCCAGACACCTGGAAAGGGATGTGCTGGACTCTTCTCTAAGGGATGCCTCTGTCCTTTCTTCTAGCTTATAGGCTGCATAATTGGACGCCAGGGCACCAAAATCAATGAAATCCGACAGATGTCTGGAGCTCAGATCAAAATCGCCAACGCCACTGAGGGGTCATCAGAGCGCCAGATTACCATCACAGGGACCCCAGCCAACATCAGCCTCGCCCAGTATCTCATCAACGCTAGGTAAGCAAGTCCTAGGCAGCTGGGCCCTCACTAGCTATGGCTTGCAGCCAGCCCCACACCCTGGCATGTGGGGAGAGGTGTGGTGGAGACCAGCCTCCACAGGGATGCGGGCCACTCTGTTCACCAACAAGGAGCTAAGGAAGCTGTGGTGAGCGGTGTGCCCATTTTCCTATTTCCCTCTTTCCAGCCTGTACTCTGGCTATGCCCATCTGCCTCAGGCAAGGGGTGTTGGCAGGCTTGTAGTAAGTCGGTAGGGTTGGGGGGGTAGGGATGTAGGGACATGCCTAGGTCCTGCCTCGCCTGCCCCAAATCCAGTATAAGCAACCTTCCTGAAACAGCATAGTTCCTATTCATGTCACAAGTCCTTCTAGGACAGTCCTGAAGCCCCCACTGAGGCCAACTGGGTGCTCCTGGTCCTATGCTCTACCCTGGAAGGATCCAAACTCTCTCAGCAAGATTGAGTGACAGGCACAGGGACAGGTTAAGCTCTACCGAGCTGACCTGGCAGGCTTTCCACCCGTTGTGTGGTGGGTCCTCCAGCTCATGGCCACTGAAAGGTGACCTGGAATAGCTCGTCCCCTGGAAATGGAGAGGTGCACCCCCCTCATCTCATTGAAGTCTATGACGCGTCTCTCGTGCCTTCGTCTGTTCCAGGCTGACGTCTGAGGTCACCGGGATGGGTGCACTCTAACCTCCCCAAGATTCTCCACCTCACACATCGGATGGCTCCAGCCCGCAGCCTCACCAGCTGGCACACTGTACAGACTGCCTGTCCTTCCTTGCAGAAATGACTAGAGCGTTTTCTTTACAAACAGATGATAGTACGTGTCTGCCCACTCAGGCCCTGTGCGCTCCGTCTTAGTGTAGCCTCCACGCCTTGGCATGCCATGCAGCTCTTTACTTTAATGCTCAACGTGTTCCCAACTGTGATGTTTCAGAGATTGATCCCTCAGTATCCATGTGACTGTCTGTTTAAAAGTTGGTTTGATGCTTTAACAGCACTCCCTGTGTCCTGCTGTCCCTTGTTCTCAGAGACCCTCCCCTCTCGCCCGCTCTACTGACTCTTTCCCACCCTAGGTTGTACGCAGGGATCAGAAGTACTTTTCTTGCAACCTACAGGGAGTGTCTGGAAGAGGAGGGACTGGGGGGAGTGTATCTAAGGAGCAGAGTGGAGTGCCAGAGGATGGGGTGGGACCCTGGCTTCACTAGGATATCTCGGGGAGGGGGCACTTGTGGCCCCCAGGTGTCTTCCAAGATGGCTAAGAACAAGGACTTGCCAGAAAGTTCATCTGCACCCATCAGAGTTCAATAAATGTCGTGTTCCTCCCCCATGGCTCTGGCTTCTCTCTGCTCCCCTATCCTCAGTGCCCATAGCAACCTGTGAGACGCACCGGTACCCAACCTGAGAATGAGAAGACCTGGGTTCTACTCCTAGAGCACCAGGTCCCAACCTGTAAAGCTTCCCAGCATGGAGACTGCCTGTGTCTGACAGGGCACCATCCACATAGCCTTCCACCACCCAAGGGACCATTCTCCTTCACTCCCACCACGTGGCACTTGGTTCCACTTCTCCTTTCTCTTCAGTGGTTAACTCAGAGGGCCAGGGCAGAGGTGTAACTGCCCAGGGCACAACTTTGTTGTAGCCCCTGGCCCAGCTCCAAGGGCTCTGATGCCTACCCCCCAGCCTCTGATTTTGGAGTTTCTGGCAAGAATGGCATGGCAGAGACCAGCTCAGGGTGGGAGAGGGGGGTGGAGCTGTCCAGCATATGCCATCTGTCCCGGAACCTGTCTTCACCTATGAATACAGTGACCTGCTACAGGATGCTAGGGTTCATCCATCTTGTAGCATCCATCTTGGCAGAAAGAACTCCCTCCTGTTGTCCAGGCAGACAAAGCAGATGTACTCCATGCACAGGGCCTGTGTTTTAGCCAGGAGTCTCTGACGTCATTGCCTGGATGCATCCCTTACCCTCTGCTATGAACACCACAGTGTAGCAGCAAACGGGAGCTTAGGTCCCATGGCCACTCTTCACACCCAGCAAGTTAGAGCAAAAATTCAATCCCATGCCCGCTCATACTCAGACACAGGTCTGAAGGATGGCCAGGACTCAGAGGACACAAGCCTTTTCCTAGGGCAAGACTTGCCCTTGGCCTGTCAACTGGGAGTACCATAAGAAAGAATAGCTTTTGTATAAGTACAGTTTTTAAAAAAAAAACCAAAAACCCCAAACAGCATAGGAACATCGAAAGTACAGGATCAAATGGGGCCCAAGGGAGGCCCCAAAAGTGATGGAGCACTGGGCAAGCGTGGGGTCAGGTTGGCATGTACCCTTTGGTCAGGTGAAGGAGCACATGCCTAGGGGCACATGTAGTGTAAGCCAGGCATGGAGCAAAGGCTCCACTCAGCCCTAGGCTGAGATTGCTTGGCTTCTTGTTCATTATATGGTGAAGGTGGCGATGTCCTTCAGGGATCATGTGGGTGCTGGCTTTCACCATCATCCCACACCTCCAAGAACTCTGGGAGGTCTGGTACCTGCCAGGCTGTAGGTGTGCTTGGTGAAGTAGACTTGGGTCTTCTCTACAAACAGAAAGCCAACCCTGTAAGGTTCTGATGCTAAGGTCCTGTTCCCCAATTGGTTCTTGATTCATCAGTAAAGAAAGCTGTGGACCAATTGTTAGGTGGAAGGTAGAGGTGGGACTTCTAGATCCCAGGAGGCAGGGGAGAGGGATGTGAGGAAGGAGAGGAAGTTTTCATCATGCTGTGGAATGAGAAGAATGCAGCAGCCATGTGAGGTCTCGGGAGAAGCTGGGCGGGGGTTGGGAGGCGGTGGCTGAGGCCACTACAACAGTTGGGTAGTCATAGATGATTGGCAGCAGGAGTCAGGTAGGATTAGCCA